CACGGTTTGATAGAATTCCATGTCCATATCCTCATCACTCTCGCCGCCGTGTTGCCGTAGCCTACTCCTCGCCGCCTGGTTTTGCAGGTTCTGGTTCAGCATAAACTGCACGATAACGCGCGAGGTGTTTACAATGTTCATGACTGCTGTCTTGAGCTGAGCGGGCTCCATGCTTGCCGTGGTATGGCGTCTGCACTGTTCACCCAGGAAAAAGGCGCGAAACGGTTGTCTGCCGTTGCTTCCCTGGAGAGGGGGTAGGATATACCCAGAACCACCCGCGACAATGTTTTTGGCCCCATCAGGCATTGGGATCTCAACCCAGAATTCCAATGGGCAGAGGAAACTGCGGGAACTATGGGATAGCTAAGGGATAGCTACCCACAGTGCAACGCTCCGGAAATCAACGCTAGCCCTGGTACATGGACGCACAACACCGAATTAATGTGCTTAGTGTGGCCGTATACATTCGACTTTATACAATCTGTTTCCAAAATTCGAATTATATAAATTCGGATTAAGCCCGCAGTGTAGACATACCCTAAGTTCCCTGTGCTGCAGCCGCCCAGCAGGCTATCAATTGCAGGCTATCAATTGCCGGCAGTTCAGCTGTCCCCCCCCACACTGCCATGTGCTGCTCCTGGCCTCTGCCTTGGAGCAGCTCCCAGAGATTCTTGCTTACTGTGCAGAGGCGTGTGTGGGGGGGCTAATGTCCCCCTCCCCCCTGCTCCTGCACCCCGCTTCTCCATATAGAGCAGGAAGGGGACACGGAAGGAGAGAGACATAGAGAGCTTGGGGCGGCAGCTGCTGTCTCAACTTCCTGATCCACATAAAAAGACAATGCACTTAAGAGTGGGTCAGCTTACTTAAAGGGGCAGTGTGCAGCTCTCTCTCTCTCCCACACACAAGGTGTGTGTCTGTCTCTGTCTGCCATGCTGTCTCCCGTCCCTCGTGTTCGTGTTGCCTTGTGTGAGAGGCTACATTAACAACAATGTATTAACCCTTGAGGGATCAGCCAAGTGCTAGTTCATCATTTAGCAGCAAGGCATTCCCTGGGAAATATCCCTCCCTCTTCCACCCTCTAACTTCACCACCTCAACCAAGCTTCACAATCATCATAGCTGTGAAGAAGTATTAAATTGTTTGTTTAAAATGTATACTGTGTGTATATCTATATAATATATAGTTTTTTATCTGGTGAAAAAAATTTCCCTGGAACCTAAATCCCCCTATTTAAATTAATTCTTATGGGGAAATTGGATTCACTTAACATTGTTTCACTTAAAGTTGCATTTTTCAGGAACATAACTACAACGTTAAGCGAGGAGTTACTGTATTTATTCTTTTGAATATTCCGATATACATAAAAACAATCCAAGAAAATTTAACTGCAAACTAACTGAAGGTCTCAAATGTGGGGGTAGGAGGAAAGTAGGGCTCGGCAGCCCTGGGGGAAATTCCTTCTGGTTTATGTCTTATGTTACTAAAATCTCATGCTTAAGGGTTTCACAGCTGGTCATCTGCAGAAGTCAGGAAGGAATCTTTTCCCCCAGTGTATGCTCAGATTTTTTTTGTCTTCTTCCTGTGAAGCAGCAGGGAGGGCCACAGCTAGAGGTGGGACATTGGACAGGGTGGGACGGTTCTCTGAGATGGCATCCCGGTTTCTTTCTCTCAGGTGTTTGGCTGGTTCTTGCTCACATGTAACTGATTGCCATATGTGGGGTTGGGAAAGAATTTTCCCCAAGGTCAGATGGGCAGTGACCTTGGGGTTTTTTGGCTTCCTCTGCAGCATGGGATGCAGGTCACTTGCTGGGATCATCGAGGTATAGCTCACTCAATCAATTCCCTGCCACTGCAAGGACCTCTGGCGTTGATGCACCTCAGTCCCTCCCATGCTCTGCCTGTGGCACATAACAGTTTAGTCTCCTGTGAGCTTTAACACTTAGTCTAACTTTGGTTGTTAGGTTTAGTGTGCTGGTGCTGGGTGGTGTTGGTGGCCTGTGATATGCAGGAAGTCAGACTAGATAATCTGGTGGCCCGTTCTTGCCTTAACCTCTCTGACTCTAAATACATAGACTGTTTTAGCAAGACTTTCAAAAGAGCTCAGCACCCAATCTCGCCCTTTGTTTAGGAGCTTACATCTGATAATCTGGATCGGTTTAAATGTATGCATGGTGTCTGTAAATTATTGCACTAACAAGGCATCTTGAATACCTGAGGAGCAAAGAACTGACTTTAGTGTCAGTCCGACACAGAGAACTTCACAGGTCAACCCCTGCACCGGCACAGAGCCCAAATAAAACCAATGAAGCTCCATGCAGCCGTCTGCCCTTGTGGCTCTCTGTGTAGGATCAAAGTCTTTATTCTAAACTACTGGAAATTCCTAACACAGCTGAATATTGTAATCCTTACCCAAGCAAATCTCTGTGCGGTTTTCTGCCCGAGTAAGGATTACATTATCAAATCACTATTTTTTCCTTTGTATATTGATATAATTTAAATAGCATGAAAATATCCTTTCACAACAAAAATTGAAAGAGAGACATGAATTTGTGTTGTACTTGCTCTTCCGACAGTGCATACATATTTTATCTCTGACTAGAAGAATAAAGTTTCAGTAGACAGTCACAGATGAATAGTTCACTTCTTTAATATCAAACTACTTTTTAAAATAATAATTAGGACATTGAGTCTTCTGAATATGCAAAATGTGAGTGTAAAGGGAAGCAAAATGACATTCTTTAGTATGTGCTTCTTGCAATGAAAATTTGGCTACATAACTGGCCTGACTTTTGTAAATGAGTGAAGTTTCTGTATGGGATTTTAAAAAGCAACTCTGCCTTGGGCTAACTTGGCTCCCATTGAAATCAATGCCAGTTTTATAACTGGCTTTAATGGGAGCAGAGTTAGGTCAATGCTGGATACTTAAAAATTCCACCTGCCATGCACTGAAATAGGAACATATATCCCCAAATATCACTGACATATCAATCACTATCCTACCTATATACTTTATAAGGATTACTTGAATTTTACACATTAACAATATGGTAGCTCTAATGAAGAATACAATCAAGCGTATTAGAACTGGGAACAGTGAGTTTAAGGAAACTGTGTATGTGGATGTGGTTTATAGCTGAGCCACTATTAACAATGTCCTCAAAGAATCTTGTGGTCTCATTCATACATTTGTACCTCTGTTCAGTGTTAAATACTTTAAGAAAACAGAAACATCAAGGGACAGATTCTGAGCTTATTGACATTAGTGAAAATCATAAATCATTCCATAGGAGTCAATAGAGTTACATTGATGTAAAACTGGTCTAACCAAAAGAAAAAGCAGGTCTTATATGCTATCTTCTCTCACAATCCCAACAGATCATATACTAAATTTATGGTGATAGCTGTTTACATGTTTGAATTTTTTTTAAATTAATGTCATTTATATTCCTCTGGTTCAAGGAGAATTATGAGCAGAGATATGAGAGGTGGAAAGTGGAGTTACAATCATAAAATTCTGATGAACTTTTATAAAAACCTCTGCAAGCATCTTATTCAGAAGGATAAACACATTATTAGCTCTCCATAACACCTCCTATTATTGATGAATGAATTCACTGGATTTGATACCTCTTAATGTGGACAAATATCAAGATGATATTAGTATGTGTGGAGCCCCTTTGAGAAATACGTAGAAAAGAAGTTTCTCAATTCAGGAAAGCCTACATGGGTGAGAGCTTTGCCATTGACTTCAATGGGGTCAGGATTTCACTCTCTGTTCTTAAAATCATTTGGAACTGAGAATGCACAGTGCTTTGCAGTAACAAGCCCTATATGGCTGTGTCATTTGTTTCATGTATTTTACCAACATTATATGAAGCAAGAGTAAAAAAGGGTGAGTGCTATTATACTGGTCTAGATTGGAGATGCCTATTGGTAAAAATATGGAAGATAGGAAGTTCATAGTTTCTTTCTTCTTCTTTCTTCTGTTGCTTTAACTTGCTAAAGCATGGTGGATTACAGTAGGAAAAGTTGCTTTTTACAAACCAGGGTAACTTATAACTGATACTACAGTTTTATACTGATTGGTATAAAAAACTAGACAGATAAATAATCATCAGGCAGTTCTACTCTTCTTAAATGTTTTGTTCTTCCTTTTGAATGTTCCTGGTTGTTGTGGGTTTCAACAGTGGTAACCCACAATGGTTACTACCCCTTTACCTTCTAGTTTTTTATTTAAAATAAAACTAATTGGGAGTTTTTGTTGCTACTAATTAAGGTTTTACATAAAAATGAAAAGCAACAGCCATTGCCAGTTAGCTCCATGGAAACCTTCCACTCTCCAGTGTTATAGGAAGAGATGAACAGGGACAACTGAATAGAAAAGAAGTGGGGAGGGAACAGTAGAAGGAAAAAAAGGGGGGGGGGAATACACACTGAAGGAAAATCTGAGGTTCAAGAAAAAAACATTAGTCATAAGTGATTGTGTACTTTCATTTCACTGAAATATGGGGAAGATTGAGAAATTACTGAACATCACATCACTCAATAAAGAGGATGAAAAAAGACCTGGAGTAGGGAAAGAAATCCCACTGAAGTTAATGGGATTTCACCCACTTTCACTAGATTTGAATTTGGCCCACACATTTAAACTACCTCCTACACAAATTCCTACTGGGGGGGAGAGAGGCAAGGAGTAGCAAAGACATAGCTGTATTAAAGTTTACAAGGAGATAAGCTGCTGAGAGAATCCTGATTTTCAAAGATACTCAGATTGTGTATTCACAACTATATCCTGACACCTTGTAAATACCTCCTCTTTTTGATTACTGCCATACATGCCTGTGAACATTTCTATCTATTAAGATACTTACAATTCTCTACAGAACTTTATACAACCAGTTTATTAATATGAACAATGGGCTGATAATCCAATTTAGAAATTCACAAGCACAGTTCACTGTAAATGCTAGCAATGCTAATTATGTCTGCAAAGTACTCACCTCCCTGTGGAAAGAACTGAGAATAAATCTCTTTGAAGGTCTCTTCATTAACAATCCCACTGGGACACTCCTAAGGAAAGTCACAGACAAGACATATGAGTAAACTGTCCATTTACCACAGTGCAAACAAATCAGTTGTTCATGAGATCATACAACCAAGTGATAAAGCTGATATAGGTAAATTTGGGATATTAAAAAATACCAAAAAAACAAAATCTGATTCTTGCATTTTAAAACAAATATTAATAATTTATCACTTTAAAGCCACTTTTTAATGAACTGCCTCTTCTATGCCACACCTAAACTTCGGTATCTTCACAGAGCTGGGTGACTGACACAAGCAGCACTAAGCTCTGCTGCAGTCCTTCCTCTATGGAGCTGTCAATGTAGCCTTTGGCCATAGGCTACCTCACAGCTGTAGACAGCACTCATGCTGAATGGAAGCCAGCTACACAGCACTGAGGTAGTATTCCCTTCAGACTCCACCTCAAGGGTAAAGGTTGTGGACATTGAACTCAAAAGAACCCAGCACAGAAGAAGCAAATCAAGCCCCGAAGATCCTCCTGTCCCATTATTCCTTGTGTGTGGACCAAGTTAGTTAGAGAGGGAAACAAGATGACTGGAAGGTAGGCTGAAGGGCAGGCAGATTAGGAGGAAGGCAAACGAGGCAAGGTGAAAAAGATATCAAAGGAGAAAAAGAAAAATAGAATGGTGATTTTATAAAAATGATCTGTGGAGACAGCAGAAATAGAAGGGAGATGGTATTATCTACTGGTTAGTGCAGGCAACTTGGATCTGAGAGATCTGTGTTCAATTCCTCATTTTCCCAGTGACTCAGTGGCTGACCTTGGCAATTCACTTAACTTCTCAGTGCCTTAGTTTCCCCATCTATAAAATGGGGATGAGAAAACTGACCCACATTGCTAAGATCTTTAAGATCCTTGGATGGAAAGCACTATACAAAGTATTTTTATTAAACATAAAGGAAAGGAAAGAAAAGAAAAACTTTGACATTAGTACATTTAATTTTTATTTATTCATGTGCCTACAATTTGGAGTGATGGGAAATTAGGAATTCATGGACCTAGACTCAGGAAAGGGGACATGTGAGGTATTGGAGGATGAGATAAAGGTCATGAACAATGTGATTTTTCATGTGGGCTCATAAAAATCAAAACAGGAACATTGAATGCATTCATAGTTCTAATAATCTATTCTAGATAGCAAATAGGAGTTCAGCGATAGCAAATAGGAGTCTGTAAGCTGATTTCTCTCACTTTTCTTTAGTTTATAGAGAAAGACATACAGAGGAAGCCCTTTTCATTCAATGTGCAATCAGCTCTCTTTTTGGTAGGTCACAAGAGCCATAGTAAATATTAGCAACTCCAATTACATCAGTCCTTAGGTTAGGCTAGACAGTAGTGTCAGGAATAAAACTGCCATTTCCTGACAGCATACAACTGTACATGTTAACTGTTACAAATAATGCTGTCACAGAGGAGATGATTCAAATGTACCCTGGAAAAACTTGTCTGAATTATATTTTATGTTAGCTCAGTTATAAGTTAGCAACTACCATGCAGCTTGGTTTTTGTGATATGAGTCAATTACCATAGATAATAAGATTTGTCAATGCTTTCTCTAAAACTGATACTTTGCTTTAACACTTAACAAACTAATGTATTAACACACCAGTTGAAAGAAATACTGTTTGAAAAACAATCCACTTTCATGGAATTGTATAGCAGTAGAGCCAGTAATGACCACTTGGATCACCTAACCTGACCCTCTGAATTTTGCTGAGCTCTTCACTACATCATTTCCATTAATGTCCTATTGCTTCTGTCCTTGGATATCTGCAGTAATGGCATCTTAAGCACAGCCATTCTACTGGCCAATTGTTCTTGTTAAAAACTTTCCCTGTAAGGTCTAACCTAAATATTCCTTTCTTTAGCTTAAGGCCACTTCTCCTTGTTCTAACATTCCCTGAGATCGTAGACAGTTCTGTTCTTTCTTTAATACCATTATCTTGAAAATATTTATAGACAAAGAACATGTGGCCCCCGAGTCCTCTCTTTTCTAGACTTATAAATTTATCTCTCTTGTGTTAAGGGGGTGTCTTTGGCCCACCAAGGGATAAAATATTAAGAAGACCCTTGTTTACTGTTACAACATTGAATCGTGTCTGTGCCATATTATCACTGGCTTATTCCCATTGTAACAACCACGAATAAAAATCTTTAAAACCTTTTATTAAACACATAGAAAAGGAAGTTAAAGCATTTGAAACTTAAAAAGTAAATAAGCCTTTTATCTGAACAATTTCCTATATTCTGTTTCCCTTTAGTTATATTGAGTTTTTTATAGGAGAAAACCTCTGTTTGATAGTCTTTTCAAATTGAATTAATGATGGTATTAACTGTTCCTTTTAGGAAAAAAAGAAAGTTCATTTAAATGGTCGAGCTGTGGTCATTGAAGTCAAATCCTGTTTCCTTTAAAAGAAAACAAGATAAACTCACACAAAAGGGGAGACAAAAGTATAGTAGAGATAGAAAATACAGCTTCTGTCTCTGACAATCACTCTCATTTGCAACCTTGGGAAATTACAGGTACAGTTCATGGTCTTATCAGACACTCCTAAATCTGGCAAACTTTTACCAGTGTCACGCTATCTAAGACATAGCTTTCAGCTGGCCTTTCTGGGCACAGGCTCACAGCAGTGTTGTAAAATGGGGAGTTGTCTTGTCCAACTAACGCAGGCTCTTTTTAGCCAGGAGGCAAAAAGAGAAAGACAGAAAAGAGGAGAAATAAGGAGAGGAAAGAAAATGACACCTGAACAAGGGCATAACAGTAGGCACCTCAGGTTCACATTTTAGATGTTGTTCAGGAGCTAGCCGGAGCTGGCGGAGGTGCTGATGCCATTAAGCTTCCCTCTCTATGGCTTTGTCTGGTTAGGACATCTTTCAGGATCAGGATAATAAAAGCCCAGTGGTGTCGTCATGGATCTTGGGGCCCCTAGAAGTGATAAGGATAATGGGAGCCATGATGATGAACTTGCTCCTTCCAGTCCACCCATCCCACTGGCTCTTTCAGTGGCCCCCAGATAAACAATGTCAAGAAGGGTGGCAACCTCAGCCCAATAAGATTAATGAAGCCAAAATCACTTCAGTGATTTCTACTAGAGACATTACTTCCCACTTCTAGAATCTTTCAACTTCTTGTTAACCTAAAAAATCCAATTAGTACCAGTCTATTTATCTCCAACTTTTGCTTACTTTTATAAACAATTTTATATGATTGGCTGAGTTGGACTTTGTACCTTGGATAATTTAACACAGGGCTCCTCACAATGGCTCTCTCCATCGCTCCTCACATGCTTTATCCACTAACCCTTGTATAATTTTGTTTACCTTGTTTTGTTTCAGGAACCTGTTCGTGTCCATTTACTTAGAAGCTGTGCAGGTTTAATTTGTTTCGTCTTGTCCCTCTGTGTATGTTTTCATTTTCACTGAAAACTTTAATTTACTTTAATCCCAAAATATAATGGAGCAACATGTGTATATGCTTTTAATTCTGATTCTTCAAATTAAAAAAAAAAATGAATTGGTTTCTTAGGGCCCAATCCAACTCCTAATAAAGGCAATGCATGTTTTTCTAATGACCGTAATGGGAGCTGGATAAAATCTTTAATCTGATACTTATAGGATGAGAGTTTAACAATGAACTTTCTTCTAATATCATAGTTCAGGCAAAAACTGGATCTGTCATTCCAGATAAAGGGTTAGTGGTCAGCTTTCCAGCACACACTAGCCCAGAGATACTCACTGAAGCTCAATCTAGGACCTTATAAGCCACATATGGCTCTTAGAGACTTGTAGAGTCCACAGATCTGAATGTGGCTTCACTCAGGTGGAACACACTCTCTATGTTGCACTGATATAGATGGGGAACGCTGATCAAATTCACCAGAGGCACCAGGTTCCCTTCCATCCACCTAAGCAACCGGAGGGAAAATGTGCAGTTGAAAGTAGTAAAGTGAGGGGAAAAAATCCCTTCTTCTCAGAAGGCAGCAGAAGTGAGGAACAGGAGGGGAGAGAGGAGGAACAGTCCCTCTCTCTGATCAACCTGCAGGCAGCTGAACATAGAAGTTGCCACCGCTGTGGAAACGCGCGTGCCGCCCTAACAGCACATGGACTGCCCCTGCCGTCCACGGCGGCAATTCGGCGCACTGCTTGGAGCGGCAAAAACACACGGACTGCCGCCCCTTGCAGATTGCCGCCCCAAGCACCTGCTTGGAATGCTGGTGCCTGGAGTCGGCCCTGGTAGGAGAAAAGGGAAAATCTTTATGATCCTAGGACCACTGCCTTTAACTATATCACTGATTCATCTATAGGGCTAAGGTTTGTAGAACTGGCCCCTTAATTAACTGACTTCAGTTAATTGGGTTCAGTGGGACTACTCAGATGCATAAGTCTTCATAATATCTGGTCCTTACTTTGTTCAATATTTTGAAACAGTTTGTAGGAATGATGCTATATCTAATAAAATAAGATTAGATATCATTTATATTCAAGATAAAATATAATCTCAAATAGTAAATTTTGTAAATTGCAATTTAAAAATTATCAAGAATTTGGATCCTGATCCTGACTGATGCTGCACATCTATCATTCAGCTCCCATTGTAGTCACTTATTAAGATCAGGCACTTAAGAGTTTTCTACAAAGATGTGATACCCTCTGATTGTATAGATACAACCAGATGAAAGCATGTGAGCATGACTTAAATAGAGACAGAATTAGATTAATATTTTTTGCATACCCAAACTTCATTTGTGGACGAATCTGTTTATGTAACACTTTGTCTGTCTTGTCTATTTAGCTTAGAAGCTCTTTGGGGCAAGGTACTATATAACACTTAGCCCTGATATTAGCTGGGGTCTCTGGTTGTTACTCTAATAACAACAATACAAAGCATCTTTCATTTAAGAGTGAGGGATTTTTTGTTTGCTTGCTTGAAACTCTAATCTCCTCTGGTATGCAATTTCACAAAACTAACAGCTTTTTTAAC